ATTTTTCAACTTTTTTTTTTTAAGTTTATTTTTTGAGAGAGAGGGAACTTGCTTGTGAGCAGGAGAGGGGCAGAGAGAGAGGTAGATAGAGTATCCCAAGCAGGCTCCATGCTGTAAGCACAGAGCCCAATGTGGGGCTCAAACTCACAAACTGTGAAATCATGACTTGAGCTGAAATCAAGAGTTGGGGACACTTATTGACTGAGCCACCCAAGTGCCCTTAAATTTTTCAACTTTAATTTCTTTCTTTTTTTTTTAATTTTTTTTTTTTTTTTTTTTGTCATTGAGAGGCAGAGAGAGACAGAATGTGATCATGGGAGGGGCAGAGAGATAGAGAGACACAGAATCTGAAGCAGGCCCCAGACTCTGAGCTGTCAGCACAGAGCCCAACGCAGGGCTCAAACTCACAAACCAGGAGATCATGACCTGAGCCAAAGTCGGACGCCCAGCCAACTGAGCCACCCAGGCTCTCCTCAACTTTAATTTCTTAATATTCAGCTTGATTTTTAAACTTGAGGTATAACTTATGCAAAAAGCCCATATATTAACTGTTCAACAGATTTTGACAATTGTACATAACCTGAAATTAAAAAAAAAACAACACTTTGATCATCCCAGATGCTTTCCTTTAGCCTTCTCCAAACCACCCCTCCTGTTTCTGCCTCCACATTTATATGCTGGGTATTTGTACAGTGTGTGCTCGTGTGTGTGTGTGATCTTTGTGATTTTTCTGACTAGTGTTTATTTGGATGTAGCATAATTTATCCAATCTCCTTTTGATGAACATTTTGATTATTTCCCAATTTTTGTCTATTATGAATAAGTTTGGTGAACATTTTTTTAATCAGTCCTATTGTGAATGTATGTTTTCATTCTTCTGGGGCAAGTATCTCAGAGTGACATGCTGGATCCTATGGAAAGGATTTCTGTAGCTTTCTTTATGAGAAGCTGTACTGACACTCCCATGAAGTACATGTGAGCCATTGTAAAGAATGAGAAATGGTATCTGACACTTTTAGAAAGCAGTTTTATTGATGTATAATTTATGTATACAGTAACTTAAATTTACATATATAATAACTTAAAAGTTATTTTAAGCATACAGTATGGTGTGTTTATACAGATATGTACAGATGTGTAACACCATCACAGTAGACTGACTTTGTTCCCCTGAAAAGTTCCCTCATGCCTGTGGTCCCCGGGCACCACTAACTGATTTTCTATCATTGAAGATTAAGTTGGTTTTTCCTAGCGTTTCCCTTCAGTGAACTCAGCATGCATTCTTATGTCTGCCTTCTTTTGTATAGTGCTTTTTGAGATGTATCCCATGATGTATGTCATAGCAGTTGTATCATTTTGGTTGCTGACTAGTATTTCATTGTAGAGATGTACTGGTTTGCTAGTACACATTGGGTCATTATGAGTGAATGACCCTCTCCTGCCCGCCCAGAGAATAAGCCACTGTTCTGTGCTGGGTTGGGGAGTCAGGCATCTTCCTGCTTACTAGATAGTCTCTAGCCACTCTTCCAGATTGTAGATGTCTGTCAACTCCTGGAACATGTGCCAACAGTGTCCAGGTGTGCGGGAAGGGGCGTTCCTGATAGCAGGCTCTTCTCCACCCCATCCCTGCTGGCTGCAGTGCAGCTTCTTGAGTCTACCAGATCATTTTCCACTTCTGCTTTTTAGGTTTCAGAGTTTTGTCTTCTCTTCCATTCTTTCTGTTTGTGGCTTTACATTTTTTATTTATTAATCTGACTTATTTTCCCTTTGTGTGGGGACAAAGTCAAATGTATGTATTCAATTTACTGTCTTTTAAAAAAATTTTTTTTAACGTTTATTCATTTTTGAGTGAGAGAGAGAGAGAGCAGGGGAGTGGCAGAGAGAGAGGGAGACGCAGAATCTGAAGCAGGCTGTCAGCACGGAGCCTGATGCGGGGCTCGAACTCATGAACCAAGATCATGACCTGAGTGGAAGTTGGATGCTTAACCGACTGAGCTACCCAGGTGCCCCCTGCGGTCTTAAGTCAGATCTTTTTACTTACCATAGCCCTGGTGTTTGATAAGTACCCACCCCCCCTGCACTTTTTGCTGTGATAAACACTGTGATAAGCATTTTTACAGTTGAGTCTGTTCCAGTCCATGCTTTTTTGGTGGACTTATGGGATATAAAGACATACTTTTAATAAATATAAAGACATACTTTTAATGCCAGGTTGTGCCCTAAGAAAGTGTAACCATTTGTATTCCTACACAACAGGTATCTTTTCTCTTCCTGTGTTGAGTATACTCTCAGAACTTTCTCCTCCGTTTTTTCCTTCTCCCCCAAATGCCACCTGCACTCCCCCCCCCCCCAATAACATGTATCAGGTCTAGAAAGGAGGTCAGATCTTTGTGGAGGATGGACTGGTCCATAGTGGTGTCAGATCTTGACTGTGGTCAGGGCTAGGACACTACTTGGCTCCTCCCTGTGCCAGGCTGAAAGTGGGTTTGAATTAAAGCTTTTGTTTCTTTTCTTTTTAGATTTTATATTAGTTTCAGGTGTATAATGTGGTGATCCAGTTCTGTGTATTGCTCATTGCTCAGCACAATAAGTGTACTCACCTCTCATAGAGTGTCATTACAGTATTATTGACTGTGTGTATTCTGTCTGCTGTACTTTTTATTTATCTCCATTACTTACTTATTTTATAACTGGAAGTCAGTACTTGTTAATCCCCTTCACCTATTTCACCCAACACTATCACCTGCCCAGCCCAGCAACCTCTGCTTTGTTCTCTATGAGTCTGTTTCTGGTTTCTGTTTTGTTTTGCTTTTTAGATTCCACATGTAAGTGAAATCACATGCATCATATGGTATTTGCCTTTCTCCATTCAACTTATTTCATGTAACATAATACTCTCTAGGTCCATCCATGTTAAGGAAATGACAAGATCTCATTCTTTTTTATGGCTCAGTAATATTCCTCTGTGTGTGTGTGTGTGTGTGTGTGTGTATGTGTGTGTACGTACGTACACGTGTACATGCATATACATGACATCTTTATCCATTCTGTCATTGGATACTTGGGTTGCTTCCTTATCTTGGTATTGTATAAAATGCTACAATAAAAATAGGAGTGTATGTATTTATCTTTCCAAACTAGTGTTTTCATTTCTTTGGGTAAATACCTAGTAGTAGAATTATTAGATTACATGATATTTCTGTTTTTAATGTTTTGAAGAACCTCCATACTGTTTTCTGGCAGCACCAATTTACATTCCCACCAACTGGACCAGGGTTCGTTTCCTTTGCTCCACATCCTCCAGCACTTACTGTTTCTTGTCTTTTTGATAGTAGCCATGCTGACTGGTGTGAAGTGATACCTCATTGTGATTTGATTTGCATTTCCCTGATGATGAGTAATGTTGAGCATCTTTTCATGTGTCTGTGAGCCATTTGGTCTCTTCTTTGGGAAACTGTCTATTCAGGTCTTCTGCCCAGTGTCCATTTGGGTGGTTGTTTTAGTGTTCTTTATGTATTTTGGATATTAATTCCTTTTCAGATTTATTTGCAGATCTCTCCTCCCATTCAGTAGTCTGGTTGTCTTTTGTTGATGGTTTCCTTTGCTCTGCAGAAGCTTTGTAGTTTGATGTAGTCCTAATAATTTATTTTTGCTTTTGTTTCCCTTGCCTGAGAGATCCGTAAGTATGTTGCTAAGTAAGGCTAATGTCCAAGAGATTATTGCCTAAATTTTCTTTTAGGAGTTTTAAGGTTTCAGGTCTCATATTTGGTCTTTAATCCATTTTGAGTTTATTTTTGTGACTAGTTTAAGAAAGTGGTCCAGTTTCATTCTTTTGCATGTAGCTGTCCAATTTTCCCAGCACCATTTATTGAAAAGACTGTCTTTTCCTCATTGTATATTCTTTGCCTTCTTTGTTGTAGATTAATTGGCCATATAAATGTGGGTTTATTTCTGGGCTTTCTATCCTGTTCTACTGATCTATGTGTCTCTTTTTGTGCCAATATCATACCGTTTTGGTCACAGCTTTGTGTAGTATATCTTGAAATCTGGGATTGTGATACCTCCAGCTTTGTTCTTCTTTCTCACGATTGCTGGGGTTCTTTGGGGTCTTTTGTGGTTCTATACACAAATTTTAGTGGTATTTGTTCTAGTTCCGTAAAAAATGCTATTGGTATTTTGACGGGGATTGCATTGAATCTGTAGATTACTTTCAGTAGTATGGAGATTTTAATGATTCTAACTCTTCCAGTACATGAGTGTGGTGTATCTTTCCGTTTATTTGTGTTTTCTTCAGTTTTTTGTTTTTTTTTTCCATCAGTGTGTCCTACAGTTCTCAGAGTATACGGTCTTTCACCTCTTCGGTTAAATTTATTTCCAGGTATTTTTACTGTTTTTGGTGCAATTGTAAATGGGATGGTTTTCTGAATTTCTCTTTCTGCTACTTTGTTATCAGTGTATATGAATGCAGCAGATTCCTGTATATTTTATGTTTTGCAATTTTACTGAATTCATTAATTCTTTATTATAATTTTTTTTTTTCACTTTATTTTAGAGAGCGTGAACTGGGGCAGAGAGAGGGAGGGAGGAGGGTAGAGAAAGTGAGAGAGAAGGAGACTATCCCAGGAAGGCTCCACGCTCAGCGCGGAGCCCAAAGTTAGGCTCAACTCCCTTGACTCTGGGATCATGACCTGAGCTGAAATCGAGAGCCGGACGCTCAACCAACTGAGCCATACTCAGGCTCCCCAGTGAATTCATTTATTCTAACAGTTTTTGGTGGAGTTTTTAGTTTTCTGTATATAGTGTCATGTCATCTGCAAATAGTGATAGTTTTACTTTTTCCTTACCAGTAGAGATGCCTTTTATTTCTTACCTGGTTGCTGTGGCTAGGACTTCCAGTAATATGTTGAATAAAAGTGGTAAGAGTGGACATTCTTGTCTTCATCCTGATCTTAGAGACAAAGCTCTTGGTTTTTCACTGGCCACTGGCTTCTTTGTTTCAGGTTACACTCCTGGCACACCTTACAAAGTGTCCTGTTCCCCCACCAGTGGGGCAGTGCCACCATACTCCTCCTCTCCCAACCCCTACCAGACCGCTGTGTACCCCGTGCGAAGTGCCTACCCCCAGCAGAGCCCCTACGCACAGGTAGGCTTGGGTGTGCTGTGGATCTCTTAATTAAGTGCCCTTGGGCATTGTGCGTGTGGGAAGGGTTGGTTCTCTCTGGGCTCTGACCCATGAGGCGTGGAGCCCTGTGATATTGGTCTCTCCTCTTCCCTGCAGCAGGGCACATACTACACGCAGCCCCTGTATGCAGCACCCCCTCATGTCATCCACCACACCACAGTGGTGCAGCCCAACGGCATGCCGGCGACAGTGTACCCTGCTCCCATCCCTCCACCTAGAGGCAACGGCGTCACCATGGGCATGGTGGCTGGGACCACTATGGCCATGTCAGCAGGTGAGTCCTGAACCTGGGTTGCCTATTTTATAATGGCATGAGAGCCAGGAGAATGGATAGCTCACTAATTCTCTGACCTTAGTTTGATTTTTCATGGCTTAACTTGTGTAGAAGGACATACTTTTTGGGAAAGGAACAGCATATGATCCTTCTTTCCCTCCCTTTCATTTCCTCCCCTTCTCCTTTTGGTTGAGAGGAAAGGTGTGGGGTTTAGGGTGGTCAGCCAAGAACCAAGTACCCTCCCCATAGGGTATGACTGAATAGTGATCAATGTATTTGACAGGTGAGTTGAGCCCTTAGTAGTAGGGCTGAGGAGCATACCAATAAGCCTACCAAGCTAGAGCAGAAGGTGATCACTTTGTATCTGGGCGAGCTGGCCTTCCTGGTACTCCATTTAGTGTAGGCTGCAGGGCAAGTTGTGTGAATATTGGTGTTTGCATGAGTCTAGGAAACCTGGCTTTGTATTCATGGAGATAACAGCTGCTTATAGAAAATCTTGGCATTGGTCAGCTTTATTTCCCAAGGCTTCCTTGCTCGATATTAAATCATGGAGAGAGGAGACTCCTGGCTAGGCTGTGCATATATCCCTGGGACTGTGGAGCCCCCAGTGGGCATATAGGTTACCTGTGTCAGGCAGCCAGGTATAGAAAATGTAATTGCTTGCCCATGGCTGTGTGTGTGTGTGCGCGCGCGCACGCGTGTTTTAGTACTGTTCCCTTGCTTTTCCACGCCCCCCACCACCACCCTTTTCACTATAGGGAGATTGTGCCAGAGAGGAAGATAGCATGTACATTTCTGCTCTGAGCCTCCCTTGTATTTGGTTTTCCCAGACTACTCTGAAGGCACAGACAGAAGCTGCATATTTGAGGCACGTGGAGGGAAGAATGGCAGGCCTTGCACTGCTTGTGGGCAGGGAGATGGGAAGTGAGGAAGAGCAGGGTGAGGCTGTTAGGTTGGAGGCTATGCTTATCCACAGGGGACTCAGAGTGCTGAGTTTTCTGCAGTTCTAGGGAAAATACATTCATTTTCATGTAGGTAGAAGGTCATGTAGTTTGGAATCTCCCTGCTTCCCTCTCTTTAATTTTTACCATCTTAACCATTTTTACTGTATAGTTTAGTAGGGTTAAGTTTATTCACATTGTTGTAAAACAAAGCTCTTTCATCTTGCAAAACTGTAGATCTGTGCTCATTAAACAACAGTTCTCCTTTCCCCTGCCCCACCTTCCCAGTCCCCAGCCCCTGGCCACCTCCATTCTACTTTCTGGCAGTTTGACTACCTGAGATACCTTATGTAAGTGGAATCCTGTTGGATGTGTTTTTCTGTGACTGGCTTATTTCACTTAGCATAACATCCTCAATATTCATCCATGTTGTAGCATGTGAAAAATTTTCCTTCCTTATTTGTTTTATTTTATTCATTTTGGGGGACGGTAGGGAGGAACAGAGAGGGAGAGCATCTTAAGCGGGCTCTACATTGTCCCTGTGGAGCTCAGCGTGGGGCTCACAGTCATGAAATGTGAGATCCTGACGTGAGCTAAAGTGCAACGCTTAACTGACTGAGCCACCCAGGTACCCAAATATTTTTTCCTTTTTAAGGCTAAATAATGATTATTTTGTTGATTATCATTTGATTTGCAAAAATCATCGAGTATGCTCATATGAAGGGGAGGCACAAAGCCTTCTACAGACATTATCATATGAGCTTGCTGTGTTTATACGACTTTGAGTTGTGTATGACCAGAATTCTGACAGCAGTCTAGATCACACACACACCCCTTCCCGTGTACCTCCATTCTTTTAAAGCAGGCCAGGCCAGAGCTCTCTGGTCAGGCAGCATGGAGCTGCGTGGTGACATAGGCTAGCCTCGTGTGGGTGGTGCTGCCTGCCATTGAGACAGCTGCTCTTTCTTCCAGGTACCCTGTTGACTGCCCACTCCCCAACTCCTGTTGCCCCCCACCCAGTCACTGTGCCCACGTATCGGGCCCCAGGAACGCCCACCTACAGCTACGTGCCCCCTCAGTGGTGATCACCCTGCAAATGTAAGTGATTGGGGAAGCCTGGGTTGGCTTTTTTTCAGTACAGAATGGCAAATTACCATATTTTAAGCACTAATGAGAAAAGTGCTTAAATGCGCCTGTTAATTCAAGGGCAGTGTGGCATTTAAAGTTTTGTTCTAATTTGGACTCTTTTACAAAGTAGAAGGAAAGAAACCATTGAGTACTTGCTGTGTCCACTATATACTTTGTTCCTTTCCTCGTCTGTGCTCTAATCTCCCACTGCCTCCTACAGGAACTAGGATTCTGGGTGTCTGGTTGTAACCAGAAGTCTCTCTAAGGTCTGCGGGAACCAGGAGCAGTGGCCTTTCCCACTGCTGCCTCCTACTGGGTTTTATTCTCCTCCACTTCAATGAAATACCTTTTTGGAGTAGCCATGTGTGCTGTGTGTGACCGTGTGTGTCTTTCTCCCCCTGCCAGGTTTGAGGATGGAGCTGTGCAGTCACATCATGGAGGTTCCACAGCTGGTGCTGCAGGCCTCGCGCCTCCAACCTGGACTTTCTTCTTAATGCTCTCAACACTTAGCTAAACACTAGGGCCCAGCCCAGCAGGTCCCAGCGCCATTAGTTTCCAACTAACTCTGTGGGTTGGTCTTAAAGCAATTCCTGTTTTGTGGGCTGCCTGGCAACTTTAGCTAACTGTAATGATAAAAAGGGAGTATTAATCTATTCTGAATCATATCTAGTTGAATGCATGTTTAAAAACAAACAAACAAAAAACAAAGCTTGCTCAATCTACCTGCAGTGACTGATGCAAACCATCATATGCAAAACCCAAAGGAATGGAAAAGCATTTTACAACTTGTATCACTAATGCACTGTTGTAATGTATGCAGAGTCTTAAAGTTTTAGGTGTTAAAGTGAATTTCTTCATAGAGTATCTGAAATCCCGTAGATGGTTCTTCAGCCTTTGGGGTTGATGTGGGTTGCCAGTTGGTAATGTGGACTTTGAGTTTTCAGCCGTCTGTTTCTTTCACACTGACTGCACGGAAGAGAGTTACAGGGACAGGGAACGTGCAGGGTGGGCCACCACCGCCTGGGGCGCAGCCAGCTTACTGAACATCCCTTTCTTGCTGTTTAGGCTTGCCAGACATTGTGGTGTGGACATTCTTAGAGATGATCATGAAAGTGTAGAGTTGTATGGCCAGTACAGTTAGGGGTAAGAGGTCATCTGTGTATCAACAAAGCGGTTTTCTCTGCCATCTAAATTTTTATTACAAGTCTCCTACACATAGAGATGAGGTTTTATGTATCTTTATTGGAAAAGTCCTATGTAGAACTAAATTATTTTCCTGGGATGGAAGATATGTGAAGGAGAAACAGCCACACTTGGAGGAGATAGTGGTTTCTCCTTTGTTTAGCTTAGAAAACCATTCCTTCCCCCCCCCCCCCAAGAAGTTTCAGTCCACAGAAAACCTATGTAGGCATTGCTGTTCTCCAACACCCCCCCCCCCTTCCAAAGAAGGGCAAAGATTTCAGCTGTCTGTTATGAAGAAAGTTGAATATCTAAAAGAACTATTAAAAGGGAACAAAACTTGGTTTGAAATGGTTTCTTGTAGAGAGGCCGGGCTGTGGCTGTGTTTGGGCCCATCCACCTGATGGGGACTTGTCATCTAAGACCATCTGAAGAGGACTTCTGGACATGAGTCTGGGGAGGGAGGGGCTGGTGCCTCTGGTCTGTGAGCCATGTCTGCCCTGTGTAGCTGAGGGCTCTCAGCACAAAGCAGGTATGGACAGCAGCGGCCCAGGCAGTGTCAGAATGCCTTTGCCTGCCACGTTTTATTCAGAAAGGATTTTGTGTTTAAAGTCAGAATATTGTACATAAGAAATGAAGAGGATTTTTTTTTTCTTTGCTTAAGTGTGCCCAACTTGTGTCAGTGGCATTGTGTCTGTTCACAGAGGGGGTGGGAGGGTGAGGGTTGTGTTCCCTTTTAGTAGTCGGTCAGGTGGGGTGGGGTGTACTCCTGTTCACCCCATCATTTCAAGTGTATGGGCTTCGGTGGGGAGGGGACCCTGCTCTTACGTCTCTGGCAGCTAGGTCAGGGCTCTGGCACTGGTTTGGCATTTGGCCCCATTTCGTGAGTGGGACACCTGACCCCTAAGCCTTTGGTAACCTTATTTTTTTTCTGGTAAATACCCCATAATTTTCTTTTTCACATTTTGTTTTATAAGAAGTTTAGGAATATTTTTGCATGGATCATTGTAAACAGAAAGTTCCTTATTCCTAATGTCTATTAACATAGTGTGCTTACTGATGAGTACTTTAAATTGCTTCATTAGCACTTAAACCACGTGTGTGTGTGTGTGTGTGTGTGTGTGTGTGTGTGTGTATGAGAAAGAGAGAGAACCATTTACCCCAGGCGCAGTTTGTGTCCACTTTAACTCTGTGTTGGTTATTCCTTCTGTACATTGGATGGTTTATAATATCCATGAGGTTCTAAGGGTTCCAGGGCTGAACTGATCAGTAATAGAAAAGTCAGTTTCTCCAGTTTAGTCTAACAGATTAGGAGAAAATATGATTTTAGTATCTATTTTTAAAAGGCCCTAAATATCAAAATGGGAACACACACCCCCACCCACCCACCCCTGTGTATGAGGGTGGAGTCATTTGAGCAGAGTTGTGTAGGACGCTTCATTGGGCTTGCTTGAGACATGGTGTACACAGGGTGAGCATTCTCACGAGCACTGAAGTAAATGGGGTTTTCAAGAGGAAGAAGGTTGGGTTGCGTTTTGCCCCCATTTACATCAGCTTCATAAACACTGTCCCCCCCCAAATTTTTTAAAAATCTTTTTCGCTTTTGTGAAGGGGAGTTGGGAGACTTTATCAAATACTGTTGCATAATGGAATACGTCTGTGTGGAAATCTTTTCACATCAGGGCATCAGCTATCAAATATAATGAAAGGTAGATCTTGTCTAGTAGGTAAGAATCTGGACATACAAATAGTAGCAAAACTATCATAGACTGTAATTTTAACAGCAGTTCCAGTAAAATTAAGGAATAGAACTTCTGTTATAAAAGTGTATAATTTGACATCCCAGTCCTAATTGTGGAACATTCAGAGAAACTGCTTTTTTTTGTATGTGACATTCCTAACTTGATACTCTTTAGCTGAATTATGGTTCTTTTGGAAGTGGAGACAGGCAAGCAAAGGACCTAATTCCTCTAAACATGAATGTCATCATGGATAATTTTAAAAAATTGTTCTACAGCCTCTCTGCCAAGGTTCATCAGGTCTCTTTCTCTGCTTCTGGAAATTTTGTTTGGATCTGGGCCGAGGCGACTTGAGTGTTTAGTAACAAGCGATGGTCCCATCAGCCTGCTGCCTCTGAGGAGTGAGGCCAACATCAGGACCAGGGCCATTCGTGGGAGGCATGGAGGCAAGGCTCCTCCAGAACCTTTTATGTCTTCTGTATTAAATCTTGTCAGAACATTCTTGTTGAGATGGTTATGAGGCCTACCAGTTGCCATTCTGTGAATCTGTTTCTTGAGAGCTATGCAAGTGTAGTATTTACAGGAGATGAGAGAGGTCTTGAGACTTGGGCTGGGCACTTGGCTGGTTAAGCATCCTGCCCGTCCCACTCTGGGCATACAGTGCCTTGCTCCATCTGGTGGTACCATCGCTTCTATACTAAGAGGAAATATGTTCTTAAGGCATTTTGCATATGCTGATATCTGGTACCTGAGTTTCTGTGAGGTGCCTGCCAGTCGGTGGTGAAAGGGTGGCACACACCAACCACGTCAACATTGGGGCCTACTGCAAAAAGGAAATCCACACTTCCTCACCTGTTCTTGTAAACATTTGCAAACAGTATTACTCTGACCAGTTGGTCCACTTTCTCCCCATCTGGCAGCTAATGGCTGGATGCCTCAGTCATTGCCAGCCTGGGTATTGCCTAGTCAGGACAGGATGCCTGTCTGACCCCTTAGCAGGCTCATAGGCACTTTTAAGGGCGAGTGCTTTGAGGGCAAAGGGCAGCTTCTGGTTCTTTCTGGTGCTTTTTAAGTAAGGGTGTGTGGGGTTTTCTCTAGAGAGGAGTGTAGCTCTGAGGAAGGGCAGACTGCTTAGCTCTCTCTAGCATATCTCAGATGTTTGTGTTTTTTCCCTGAGCTGTTGATTATTCAGCCTGAGCTTTCTGAAGGTGCATCAGACTTTTTTGAACAGACTTGCAGATAACCTGCTGGAGAGGAGGGTCTAGTCTTTTTGGGTAGAAAGTTGCAACGTTGATCTTACATGTTTTCAGAGGATTTGTCTGCCCTACCTCCACTCATCTGAAGAACAGAAAACCCTAGGGGTAACCTTAAAGTTCCCTGACGTGGAACAGGGAAACAGGATAGGCAGGCATCTGTTCAGGTGCCCTGCAGTGGTTTCAGGGCTGTCGTGGTGGAGATGACGGTGTCTTGTTTGGGACTCCTGAGCCCTGTCAGTCTCCCATGGGTTCTTGTGTAGACTGGTGGTCAGTAAAACAGATGGGCCCTGCTGTGCCCCAGCAGAGTCGCCTTGACTGCTCAGAGGAGAGGCCCCAAGGAGCCACGTGGGTTGTGACTATCTAGGAAATGTTTCCCCCCTCCTTTTTTTTTTTTAAATGATTTTTAAATACTGTTTTTTTAGACCGTTCTCTTGGTACTTTTTTTAAGCTTTCGTCAACATTGTCTTCCAGTGTTAAAGGCCTCCCTCACCTGCATTGAACTTACGGTGTCAATCAGTACAAAGGAATGGAACACCCATCCTGAGCCAGTTCCATTACGTGTAAATTCATACTATTTTAATTTTTTATGCAATCTGATGAGTAGATGAGCTCAGATTTAAAATTCTTAAAAGCACGTTTATTGTAACAAGAATTGTTATGTATTAATACTGCAGTTTTCAATAAAGATTGACTTGTGTTGCATAGTGTGATTTTTTTTTTTTTTTTTAATGATTTTTTTTCCCTGTAGGTTTCATTTTGAGGTGGCATGGCCTGGCTTGGAGGTGGTGTAGCTTCTTTCTAGTTAGGAAATGCAGGGTTTGGGGGCAGAGGCCTTGTGCTCTGCCCCCGTGACCTTGTGTAGCACTGTGACAGCACGGTATGTAAGGGTGTGGAGGCCTGCTTCCTCAGGGTACGGGGGAAGGAAGCTGTCCCTGTTTCTCTCCTGGTCCTGTGGCCTGGTCCCCCTGAAGAACACATTCTTCTCCATTTCAGTGAGGAGGTTGCTAAACGCAAGAAAGATTGCAGGCTGTCCATCCCCCAAATTCACATTTGCTAACATCAGCTAAACATGGACTCTGGGGGCAGTTGAGGGGGTGGGGGGACAGGCTTCCAGGCCCGAGGGGTTGGAGGGGCTGAACCAGTGCTCTCCCACAGCTGGATAGACCCCAGGCCACACACACTGTTCTCGCAGGTCCAAGCACTTCCACCGCCACCTTAGCTTCTTTCCACCAAAGCTCTGAGGGTATGGTTTGCAAGTGAGCTCCCACCACACTGGGTGATGGTGGGCTCATCCTTTCTGTTTAAGGAGAAGCCCAGGGCAGAGAAAGGAGACGGGCATAGGAAGGATGGAGCATGCAGAGGAGAAAATGCATAGACACAAGTGGAAAAACCAGGGCTGACACCAGGTTATTTTTCACAAGTTTCTTTATGAAATTAAATGTGGCTTCTGGCTTGGAGAAGGTATAGTGCAAGAGTGACTGACTGTACATGCTGCTGAAGTCCCTTAGGCCAGAGGGGCAGCTCAGCATTCCGCACCCACAAGCCAGGTCCGGGCTGCACTTGGGACCCTTCTCGGCAGGATATGGGCTTCTCTCTAACTCACATGCCCACCAGACTCTGGGTTAGTGGGTCAGTCCTGGATGCTGGGCCCCAGAATTCAGTCCTTATGGCTTCTCACACTCACTTAGGGTAAGGCAACCTTTCTGTGTCACTAATAACAATTACTTTTCCCCATTAGAAAAACAGCACAATCCAGACAAATCGGGGGCAGGCTCTGGAGTCAACCCACAACTACACATGGACTGGTCACAAACCCTGACAGAAGTATGCAGCGACTATGGTTTTGTTTTCTTTCCACTATGAACACATCATGAGTGAAGAGGGTGTCCACAGCCGGGAGCATCTAGAGACAGGTTGGGAGGCAGAACAGGTGGGCTCTGGCCATTTTTGTGCACAGAATTCTGGTTCCCACCCTCCAGGGATGCAAGTTGCCTGGCACCACCAGCTGGGGACGGGGGGCCTGAAGGACAATTGGAGGCAGAGGGGCACATAGCCCAACTTTATAGGGGCTGGAGGCAGAGTCTGCCCAGAGACAACAGGAGGAGGGATGATGTCCAGAGAAGAGGGTCCAGGGCGGCCAGTCTTCTCATGTGTGTTGGCCTGGCCGGTGGCTCTGAGCTGTGGCTCCTAGGAGGCCCCACAGAGGTCCAGAGGGTGGCGGGAGGCTCACCACCATGGGTCCTGCCCCTCCAGCTGGTGTCTTCAGTGTACCAGTGGTGGGGAAGTAACGAAGAATGGGGTGCCAAGCAGCTCCCTCACTCAGCCTGTAACTTCAGTGTGCGTGACACATGCCATGGGCCTCGGAGAAAAAGCTGGAAGCCCGCTGGAGGGCCAGGTCCATACAGTGCTGTTGGGTGGGGAGCTGGCTCACTTGCGGAATGGTGCCAGCCGGCTAATGCTGTGCCAGAAGGTGGATGGCTTCCTCTTGGGCTCCGCCAGTACCAAGACCTGTTGCTGGGGCAGGCTGGCAGGCAGTGCTGGGTGCTTCTGGCGTGCCAGGTAGTAGGGCCGGCTGAGGGCTGAGCGGGAAAAGAAATCAGGGATCATAGGTGCCTAGGGAGCCAGGTGGCAGAGCGGCAGCCTCTGCTTGGTAGGGGGTGGAATGGGGTCCCTCCCATGGGAGGGAACGTCCTTTGTGGGGCTGACCACACCCAGTGGCCTGGGCCACCCTCCTGCCTGTAGAGGGGAGGGCCAGGAACCCTGGGACGTGTGGGGCCCTGGAGCTCTTCCATGGCACAGGCCCCTCGCCAGGCATTTATCAGCTCTTCTGGAATGGGGATATGATGAGCTCCTTGCCAGGTGGCTGTACGCAGGCTTGCCAGAAGGCAGTCCTGCCGGGGAGGTGTGCTGTCACTAATGCTGCTGCTCTGGGGGATGCCAGGGGAGTGACAGCAAAATTATCAACTGAACTCTGACTAAAGCTTTGTCACCAGTGGCCCCTTATCACCCACCTTTGGGAACAAACACCTGGAAAGGGCAGTGGGCAGCAGATGGGACCTACGTGTTAGTTGGCTTTGTTTTGGGGTTCAGAGAAGAGTTTGATCTTGATCAGGTGGTAGGGCCAGGCTGCTGTGGGAGGAGGTAGGGTACCATCCACTTACCTTTGGGCTTCCCAGTGGCCTGCTGCTTGCTGGCATTCAGCATGGCCTGCTTCCTCTGCAGCTCGGTGATGGAGAAGCCTGGGAGGGAGGACCGCAAATGAGACTTATGCTTATTTTGAGGACTTGACTTCCACTTCCTCCCCCTCCCCAGCCAGTGTTCCTCTTGTCCTGTGCCTCCTGGCACCTGGTGTATCCTGCACTTCCCACAAGGTCTGGTGTCCCATCATGCTGCAGATGCTCAGTATCCTGCTCAGCCAGTCGGCCTTGGCTCAGGGGGCCCTCCCTACATCCTTGCCCTGCCCCACCTCTCACCCAGACCCAGTCCTTGATGTATTCAGCATGTAGTGTCCTTCCTACCCTGGTGGAGGCTCTTTCCCAGACCAAGAGTCAATCTGGTCACTCTGAGTGTGAAGTTCAGGGGCCCATGGAGAGAAGAGGAATATGGTAGGGAGGCATGTTGCTTATGCTGGGTTGGGTGAGGTTTCTCAAACCAGTGCCCAAATCCTATTTGAATGCTTTGTGCTGGAAAGGGGCCTCACCAGGTCTCTTACGGAGTGTGTGTGCATATGTGCATGTACACGTGTGGTAGAAGCAAACCTGGACAGATGAACAGGCCCATTCCATGCCTTGGGGCTGAAATGAAGAGGGGCCCTGGAGCACTACCACGCTCTGAGGCCCTCGGGTTGTGGCACAGGGCCACCTCACAGTCTAAGGTTGCCCTGACCTTGCATTCAGGGGAGAGGAGGGCTGGGTGGGCCCTCACAGTGGATCAAGGCTGAGTGGGGACTCGCACCTGTCTCCTGGTCCAGCCGCACCTGCTCCCTCTCCCTGGCGAAGGCCTTGAGCCAGCGTTGTTTTTGCTCAGGCTTCCTGGCACACAGCAGGTGACTCTCTCCCATGGTGCCGCAGAGCAGACGAAAAGCATTCTTGACACTCACGTGGAGATCTCTGTCTTTCCCATCCTCCAGGTCCACCACCTCCAGGCCATCCATGTCCACTCGGCCCTTATAGTACAGCACATCCCGGCGGAGAAGGTCCTGCCAGAGACGCTGTGAGCTCCTGGCCTATATCCTGCTTTTCAAGTCCTTACCTCTGAGGCCTCTGAGCCACTCTCCTGACCTATTTATGCCTTACCGCCTGCCCTGCAATTGGAAGGGCCAGTGGGCTGCACACCCACTTTCCCAGCAGATGGTAAACTCACAAGCGCAGAGTGAGTGTGGTCTGGCTCACAGCTGTGTGCTGAACCCAGGATGGAGGAGTCTTGCCCCTTCAGCGAAATTACTGACTGGCCTGGAGGGCACCCACAGTCTCACGGAGAGGCAGTCATGGACACAGTGGGCCAGGGCCCATACTACACAACAGAAGAGTACCAGGCCTAACAGGCCAGGCCCAGGGACAGTTGCCAGGAGGGTTTCCTGAACAGGGCCACTTGGGCCATGTGCTGAGAGGAGCAGAAGCTAACAGCAAAGAAGAGGCAGCAGGAGCAGAGGACGCCAGGGCTCAGGGGGAGCTGAGGTTTGCAGAGAGGAGAGGTGGCTTTAGAAGCAAGCAGAGGCTAGGTCAGGAAGGAGTGTTCTCAACAGCACTGGACCCTGGTGTGGGCCACCCATGGTCCTTGGACTACTTGGCTTCCTCCATAGAGAGCCATCCTCATTCTGGCCCTATGGGGAAGGGCCTGCTGTACCAAACATCCTCAGGACGTGTCTGTGGTTCCTTTTCTCTGGCAGCTCCTCCCAGCCCTCAGCTTCACCCCCTCCCCCCGGCTCTAAATGGCTCATCCACCAGGACACAGCAGCGCAGTTACCTTCTTGCAGTAGATGAGCTGGTGGTCAAAGAGAAAAAACATCCTCTGCTGGCTCTTGGCTTGTGGTTGTGTAACACGAGTCAACTCCCCCGAGTAGATGAGTTCCGAGCTCCTGACCAGGAGATCTTCCCCCTGGTGAATCCCAAGGAAAACTGTGAGCTGAGTGTATCCAAACTTGGAAGCCCACTCCACTGGGCACTGCTCCCAGCCTCTATCAGAAGTCGGGCGGGCTCCCCACTGACCTGGCCTGCCTGTGGCCCCCACTGGGCTAGGGTCTGCAGTGAGCAGCAGGCCACAGAGGGAGGAGTTGCTCTTGAAGCCCAAGGAAGTGGTGGGGGCAGTGGGGTGGTAGGGAGTAAAAAGGTAGTTTAACAGACAAGTCGGTTGTCTCTGCAGAATGGGGCCCAGTGTTAGCCAGCCATGTGCACACTTGAAATGTGGCTCATCTCTACTGAGAGTAAAATAACACCAAGTTTGAAGACTTAGTATAAAGAATGTGAAATATTTCACTAAGAATTTTGTTGATTACAAGTTGAAATGATATTTTGGATGTGCCGAGTTAAATAAAACATTATTAAAGTTAACTTCACCTGCTTTCTTTCTGTTTCAAGATGGCTACTAGAACATATAAAATTACCTATGTGGCCCCCATGTTACTGCGATTAGACAGCGCTATGCTCAAGAGTAATTAGACCTGGCTAGTCACCAGTGAGCCTTGTCTTTTAGGGACTTAACAAAGTTTTCTCAGCTAAATGTAGTTAGTACCTGAAGCCCCATCATCGGACCTCAAACTTTCAGGCTAAGCACCACCCCACTCTGATTCCTCCTTAGAAAATGCAAACCATAGCCAGTTCACAGCAGCCATTCAGTTTGGGAAAAGTGAGTTTGTAGGGGTCCTTAGCCAGGGCTGGGCCTCAGAAGCAGTCACCAAGAAAACAAAACAAAACAAAACAAACAAAAAACAAAGGCTACATCACTCAGCCCTGCCACCAGGGATTCTAACTCTGTATTTCTAGGGGAGGAAGGGAAGGGTAGGAATCTGTATTTTCATAACTTTTTATGGCTAGTGGGTGGAGGTGGAGAGAATAGGATAGGAATGTCCCCATTAGTTCAGGTCTTTGGGTTCCTTTAGAAGGTGAGACTGTTGGGTATAAGGGGCACGGGTAAGCCCGAAGAATAGAATCAACAATGGAACCCGTTTTGGGTAATGCTGAACCCTTCTGTTGGGGAGTCCCAGTAGTTACTAAACACTGAGGATCTGGTCTGTTCCCTGAGGGCTGAGGACCAGCTCCTCCTGCTGGGCCAGCTGACTGCATGGGGAACAGCATCCTGTGTCACACATGCCAGGCACTCCTGACCAGGAAAGAGGCCACTGGGCCTGCAGCTTAATGCTCCAGTGGCCTGGGCAGAGGACCAGCTTTCCTACTGCCAGCTCCTAGAGCATGGCTCCCACTTCAGCTCCTTCCTAGAGTTTTCAGAGGCAAGCATGATTTTAAAGCAAGGGGCCATGCCCCATGGTATTTTCTGAGCTGTGGGGCCCTCACCTCCCAATCCTCTATGGAGCTCTGCCACTGAGCAATCTTGTCAATGTTTTCAAGCCTCCGTTTCCGTTCATTGATGAGCCGGGCCACATTCTTCATGGCATGTAAGGCTGCTTCCACATCCTTGAAGTCCCTGGGGCATAACAGAGATGGAAGAAGGCTGCACTAGGGAGAGGAGAGAGGGGCTGTGGAACTGCCTCCCTCCGTGGCTATGCCTGTGGCCATTCTTCACTTGTCAGTGCACACTGTCTGGGCACTGCAGAAGTTAATACCCTACTTCTGTCCTCTTCTCTCATTGTAATGACAGCACGTGACAGCTGGGACTGTCTTACTGTGCACTGTCAGTGCATACAGCAGTGTCCACACACTATAAGAACTCAACACACTGGCCCACCCAAGGCCTGAAGAGCCTCAGACTCTGAAAAGCCCCGCCTCTCCAGCAGCCTCCTACCTGTGCTGGGGGTGTGTATACTTGAGCAGCTCGGCCAGCTGCAAAGGGTACTTGCAGATCTTCTGCACTGGTGTCAGCAGGAATCCGTCCAGGGAGATGTCTATCATCTTCTGCAGTAACCGGCAGGCCTCGAAGAAGTACACATACTTGCTGAGCTTGGTAAGCCTGGAGAGCTCCACACAGGCGTTGGGGTGATTGTTGCAGTATTCCGAGTAGATCTGGAAGTCTGCTTGCTGGGGGCATAGCTGGAGGTTAGGACAGTGACCTCCTGCTCCCTCAGGCCACCCAGGCAACTCAGGCACAGCATAGGAGAGGGAGCAGGAGCCTCTGTATTTCCCTCAGAAGCTGGGCTCAGAGGGTCCAGGCTCGCTCTACCTACGTCACTAGGCACAAGCTATGTGGAATTTGGCACAGGGATGTTAGAGACCTGAAAACTCAGGCATGTGTGTGCCCTGTTGCCACCCAGCATTCTCAGAAGATATTTTGGCTGTATGTCAGTTTTTTTTGATGAAATCAATGATGCTAATAAGGAAGCACTACCAAGGCCCAAAACTAGAAAGAGAGAGAGAGAGAGAGGGAGAGAGAAGGAGGTTAAGGGAGATTAAATGAATGCCAGGGTCTATGGCTGTGCCCCCTGGACTGTTTTCGTCCTCAGCCCAGGGCCTTGCTTCTTCCTAACAAAGCTCTGGCTTCCTATCTGAAGGACAGCCACTGCTACTCTATTCATTCACAATGTGACAGATATGTCCATGTGTGTGTATTGTTGTTTTTTTTTAATTTTTCATGTTTATTTATTTTGAGAGAGAGACAGAGCATGGGCAGGGGAGGGGCAGAGAGAGGTAGAGAGAGATTCCAAGCAGGGTCCACACTGCCAGGGCATAACCTGATGTCCCATGAACTATGAGATCATGATCTGAGCTGATATCCAGAGTTGGATGTTTAACCGACTGAGCCACCAAGGAGCTCTTGTGTGTATATTGTACATGAGACTCAGTGTGCCTTTTTAAAATAAGTTCTATCTACCTGACCCAGAGAAAGACTGGGTGTGCCCTTTAGTGACCAGGACTTCATGGACTTAGGTGGGAAAGGAGGGTGGCAGCAGTTAGCTGACTGACCAGTTGCTGTGATGATCACACTGGGTAATGTCGATAAAGTGCTGATCCCCCCCCCCGACCTTTCGGCCCCCATCACAACTCTGCCTGCTGAATCCAGGGCTCCAAATCCCACACTCACTCAGGTACTCTGACCCCACCACACATTACTGCTCAGGGAGTCTAAGGTCTCCTCTTAGAGTTCTGATGCTGGAACCAGGTAGGAGGGCCCTTCCAACAGCCCCCTCAACCACCACCCCCACATACACTGGTAGTAGCCAGGAAGGAACCCACATTGTCCTTGATGGTCTGGCCTTGGCATCCTCTGCTCAACCCCACATAAGTGCCACAGGAGACAGACAGAAACAAGTGCTTTCCTTACCAGGCAAGGCCAGGAATCCATCCAGCCCACACCAATCCAATTAAATTGGCTAGATGCCAGTTGGCATTTAAAGTGGAAATAAGCACTGTACACTACACACATTCCAGTCTTCTCACCGTGTGGGGGAGCCCAGAATCCACTATGACAGCTCTGAGGATACTCAGCAGGTGGCCCCAGCTCAGCTCTGCCTCCTACTTACTGTAGCCCAAGAAAACTTTCAGGCTGATGCTTAGGGCCACCTGCTCCAAGGAGCCTTCTCTGACTTGGTTTGCCTCCCAAACAAGCAGAGGCACTGCTGAAACTGTTGGAGGGTAAGGGCAATTGGTCAGTAGGGGAGTGAGGCCTGGGAGCTTCTGGGAAAAGAGGAGCGAGTTGCCTGGGCTTTAGACTGCAGGGCCCACTTCGGTCTGAGAGGAGGCGGGAATGGGGGAGCCAAGGGCGAAGGGAGGCTTACATGCGCTGGGGCCAGGGTGTGTGCGCGTGCAGGGCGGAGGAGGGGAATGGGGAGCACCAGCAAAGAAGGGCGGAGGGGGACTGCCTGGCTGGGAGGCCTGGAGGGTGGGTCCTGAGGAGCTTGGGCGCTGGGGCGGGGCGTGCTCACGTGCTCCAGGAAGCAGGCGCCCAGCTCGCTCAGGTGGGGGCGCTCCCTGTTGAACCTCTGCTCCAGCGCCTTCACGAACGCCTTCTGGCACCGGTAGATGTCCTCGATGTTCCCAAAGATGGTACGCAGCTGCTCCTCGCTGAACATGTCCGCACGCTTGCGACACTGCCTGATGTAGCCCTGCAGCCCACAGCCCGTCAGGTCTCTCTCCGGACCCCCCCTCCCCGCCACCCTCCTCACCTCCTGCTAGGCCTCACCTCGCAGATGTCGCGCAGGTGCTTGATGTAGTCCCGCTCAGTGCTGAGGATCTCGTTGATGACGTTGGTCCGCATCTGGTCCTTGCTGCTCTGCGCCTCAGCACCTCCATCCTCAGCCCCGCCGTTGCCCTCCCGCAACGCCTCCTCGTCGGCGGGCTCGTCCTGGTTCACCCGCAGCTGCAGGCAGCACGGGCCGGTCAGTGCCCTGAGGGTCAGCCCCCGCTGAGGGTCAGCCCCTGCGTCCCTCACGCCTGGAGGACGGTAGACATGGCAGCCCCCTGCCCCTAACACCTGAGACTCTCCAATTCCTCCAGAGGTGCCCCGCCCCCCCCCCCGTCCCCCCCGTCCCCCAGCGCCCCTCCGCTCCCGCTCCTGCGGTGGTGCTGGACTCAGTGCTGGGAGCAGAGGGGATGCTCACTCTCTTAGGGGTTCGGAACCAGCGCCTGCTCACACCAGCCTCTCTAGGGCCTGTGACAGAAGTGGATGGGTGACCGGGGCCTTTGTGGCTCTGTGAGCTGTAAGTAGGACAGGCTTGGGATGGAGACTGGGCAGTTTATCCATGAGGTCTGAGGCAGGGGAAGCAATGAAACCCAAGGTCTGAGAACTCTACTCTCCATTGCCTTCTGCATGGCCTTTGAGATGTCACCTGGATTCCTTCCTTGGAGACCAAAGGCCACCAAAGGTAGGCCCTGGGTCCCCTCCCTGTGATCTGTTGTGCTAATGACTTAACTTGTCTATGCCTCAATTTTCTCTTAACAGCCATACTGACTGTCCCCAGCCCCCAGGATGTTATGAAAGTTTGAGATGCCCGTCCAAATTTCCTGAACAGTGTTTAGTAAATGCCTGCTACACCGAGTTGTTTGTGGTTATGGCATTCTAACATGCATATTACCCCTGGAGGAATCCACACACCATCATTCAGACCCATTCCCTTCTGGACACCAAGGGCACCTGGTGGGAGGGGTGGGGCAGAGAGGATTTGGTGATGGCTCTGCGGGTGGAGGAAGGTTGAGTCACAATTCTGTGGCTGGCCTTCTTCACATCCCCCTATCCCTACCATCCCCCGCCCACAGCCTTGGGTGGGTGGGGGTCCACGCCCAGCACTTCTGACCCCAGAGCAGTTTCAGGTTTGCACTTCTGAGCAGAGCCACTAACTCCAATGGATGTAGGGAAAGCACAGGCTGGTGCCATACCCGCACGAAGCTGGCTGGAAACCAGCCCTCGCCATCAGCAACGCGACCCCACCACCACTCTCTGTTGGTGGCATCCATTACTTCGATGACATCTCCAGCTTTGAAGCCCAGTTCCTGGTCATCCATGGTGACATGGTCCCAGAGTGCTTCAGCACAGACCACACTGCCATCACTGATGAGCTGTGGAGAGAATCACAGACAGGCAGATCAGTGGGGTAAGGCTGCCCTGGACCTCTCTCCATGGGGCAGGCTGTTCCTGCCTTCTGCCCCCCACCCCTCAGCAGCCCTGAGAAGAGAGGGTCCTATCATGGTACACAGGAGTGGATGGAGGCTCCCCTGAGCCAGCCATTCTTCAGGGAATAGGACTATGCCCTGGGCATGTCTAGACTGGCAGGGCTCATGATGAAGCCCAAAGTGAACTTGACCACTAGAATACTGGTGAGCCACAGAATCTGAGAGGCAAGCACGTTGCTCAGTCCCATGCATAGGGCACACCTTCCTTCCATTCCCATCAGACTACTGATTAAATTATTGCTCTCAGCTTCATTTACCATCTCAGCTCTGCTCTGTGATGCTGGAGCTGAGCACAGCAAGCTACATTTCTTCTGTGCCAGCTGCTCCCTGTTAGGTTCTCCAAAAGTGGCGTTGGTGGGGACCATGAGGCTGGAGGGAGAAGGGGCTTGCTCTCTCCTGCTGGCTTCTTTAGATTTGCATATCGGTGAGGTCACCTGGCAAGCAACAGTGCCACTTCCCCAGGTAGCTGTGGTGCCCAGCCATCATGGTAGCTGGTTTGCAGTGTTTTTCACACTGGCAGAACCAGTCTGTTGGCCCTCCCCTGCCACAGCCCCCAGCACTAGCTGAGCAGCACCTGTCCTCAGACATCTAGGTCCCAAGCCCTACAGGATCCTCAGGGTTAATTATTCCACCTCTTTCCTATATTCCCTAGCTGTGGAGAGGTAGGTACATCTTGCAGCTGCTACCTCTGTAATAGATACCTCACGATTGTTCTAGTGTACTTGGGTTATGGAGTCTAGCACTTTATACCTGGCTCATAATTCTTAATATTAATTTCTCTCTGCTGAAATAACTTGGTGTGTTTCCTTATTCCCATATGGTCATGGACCTCACATCAGGAGGGATGCTTCCCTACCCCAAAAGGCCAGAAGATGGAACTCTCTCCTTAGCCCCCCAGGCAGCCCTTGTGCTCAGAGCTCCATTCCCTGTTGGGCTGATACCTGCTTTCTTGTAACATGGGCTCAGTTTCTGCTCCATGAATAATGAATGGCTCTGGGGGCTTAGGACAAGAGGAGGGGTACATTGGGGGCTATACAATTGGTGAGATTCATGCCCCTTTCTGCTGGGAACCAAGTGTTAGCTCTGACTATCACAGCCATGGGCTGGCTCTTTGGTTAAGCAGTCACAGCCTCAGAGCATCACCAGTTAGGATCTCTGCACCAACTATTTCCTCCTCTGAGCTGCTTGCCTCTGCCCCAACTCATGAATTGTGAATTGTCCCTTGGCTTCAGGTCCAGTAGGGCCTTTCTTGGGTGCTCCCAGGGCAGTGTGTGTGCTGTTCCTCAGACTGAAATGGGAACCAGAGCAGGGCTGCAGCAGGACTAGCTGGGTCTTCATCTGAGAGTTCCAGTAGCTAAAATGTTTCCCCCAAGCCCTGAATGGGCAGGGCAAAGGGTAGGGTGGGTACCCAAGTACCAGAGCCCACTCAGGCTGGAGCCTTCCCTAGGGTAGGGCCTGACCAAGCACATTCAGAAACCTTCTGTTCATGTTTTCTGGGAATGAAACCTGCTCCAATCCTCAGAATGATTTAACCTTTCCTCAGAATGATTAAAAGTACATTTACTCTCACATGCAACAGCCATTCAGGGGCTGCAGATTCCCAAGGCCCACCCAGAGACTCTGGGCACCAAGCACTGGGTTATTTCTGGGGAGCTGCATGCCTCCTCAAGGGACCATTACACTCACCCCAGCTAAAAAGACCTACTACAGGAAGGTCCTCTTCTGCAAGAAGGCCTAGCCCCCAGGACCAAGACCTCTTGGCTTCAATATGGACAAGATGAGACAAGATGACTCAGTGAGGCCACATGAAAGGGGCCAGCCTGCTGTACCTAGGGAGCGAGCACTAGACTGGGCAGCCCATAGCTGGCACACCCCACACAAGCAGGCTGCCACTCCTAGCCTTGGAAGATCTTGCCTGAAGACGAGGAAGAAGCAGAATATTCAAGGGTGGTATGGGTGAGCCAATGAGAATGTGGGCCGCAGGCTAATGTCCTCTCTCAGGGACAGTGATCACAGGTAAAAGGATGTGCATCAGGACTGAAGGTGTATGTGACCAGGGGTGAGTGTGAGCATAAAGATAAAGGGTTATGTGTGTGTGATATGGAGGGATATGTGACTACAGGCTATTTGGGTAGTTTTGATCCTTGGGAGGTGGGTGTTCTGAGACCCCCTCTTCCTGCACACACCATGACATGCACCTGCCAGCACATATTTACATACTCACTAATGGGATGCTGCACTTTGATCTCCTGAGAACAGTATGCCATATTGCAGGTGTATGCTATCCATCCTCAGTTCACACCAGCTACACATGCAGGTCTCTGGGACAGCATGGAGGCTGCCTTCACTGCTAGAGCCCAGCAGAAGTGATGCAGACATACTCACACAGCCCAGCGTCCCACCATTTCTCTTTCCAGGTTGTTTCCTACTAATACTAACCAGGCTTCCTAACCCCAGGTTTTCTCAAATGAGCCCTGAGCAAAAACCCCTCTTGTAAGGCCCAGTGCCTCCTCCCTCTGCTTTATTCTGCCAGCCCTTGCAGAGAGGTGCACATCATCTGCAGTGGTTTCCTGTGTGGCTGTGGGGGAAGGGCTCCCAGTATGGGACAAACAGGTAGGGCTTCCCAGAGAGACCATGGTTCCTGACCTTTATGGACAAGCCCCAACACCTGCCTTGTCCAGTCATCCAGAAGCCCTTGGTGGTGGTGGTGGGGGTGGTGGTGGTGGTGGTCACTTTTGTCACTTCCTTGTCCTAGTACCTTGCTGTGCACAGGGGGTACTTGACAGACTCACAGCCTTGAGAAAATCCCCTGATCTCCCTGTGGTTTGGTCCCCATCCAAACCCACAGTAACAATGTGCTCTTCCTGGGCCACAAAGCTCCCCTATAGATCCACAAATGGGAGGCACTCTGGCACCAAGACAAAATGTAGCTCCAAGAGGTCAGAGATGCATTCTACCTCCAGGACAGTCCAGAGACCATCAGGGCCCACACTAGATGGGTTTCTGGGCTGAGGCCCTTCCTGAAGCCCTCTGTCCAAGGCACAGCTGCACAGAAGCCCAGATTGGAGTCCAGTGGGCTGAGGGGCAAGGGTCGTAGGTTCATTATTGGCCTGCAGTGGGGAGCAGAAGCTGGCTCTGAAACCTGGGCTGTTAACTGGAGGCAGGTGGGGAGAGGGAGGGGGCAGGATCCAGTGCAGTACCCTAGAGATTTTGACAGGCTGGAGGAAACCAGTCTTTACCTCAAAGTTCCTCCTGATGCCCACTCACCACCCTTCCCACCCTGTGCTCCCTCGTCCTGTCTCTCACACATGCAGGCTGGTGGAAGATTCCAATCAGACAGTCTGGGAAGGAGTAGGTTCAGCTTCTTCAGGCCCCCACCCAGTAGGGGATACGGGGTTTGGGAGTGCCCACATTCCAGGGGTGCAGGAGGGGCTCTGCCAGTAGTGAGGGCATACTGGCTGAGACCACTTAGACCCAAAATGGATAAAACGACTGCAGATGGCATTTGCACAGGAGCCTACTCATCTTCCCAGACATTTTTCAACCCACACAGAAACGCGCATCCAGTTCCCCTCACACAGCAGTCACATGGACATTTTCCAGAAAGCCACAGACAGCCGTGTCCACAGCTGCGTCCGCATCCTCAGTTACACACCGGGACGCGCCATTTTAGACACACACACACACACACACACACACACACACACACACGGCACAAAGGACAGGCAGAAGAACCCCGTGGCACAAGGGTCACTAAATCGCAGGGTCACCTGCGGGGCCGCACACACCGGGCCATGGCACATGGAGCTGGCAACGGAGGCCTCCCCCTGCCACCCTGGATGCAGGGACCACACGGGCCAGGCGGGGTCAGCCTGCGCACCTTAGGCCACTGCGGGCTGGGAGGATGCAGCTGAAAGGGAAGATGCTCGGCGGCCGAAGGAGCCCAGCGCCGGCTCCACTCACCCCTGCGCTATCCCCCGCGGCGCTCTGCCCCCAGCGGTCAGCGGAAGGCCAGCAGGAAGATCAGCACGACGTTGATGAGGACCAGGAGCGCCAGCACGGCGAAGACCACCACGCGCTGGGCGCCGGGGGGCAGGTTGCAGCGCAGCAAGGCGCGCAGGGCACTCCCGGGCGCCGCGGGGCGTCGCCGGGACTGCGGGGCCCTGGCCATGGCCCCGGCCTCCCGGCCCCGTGCGGCCCGGAGATCCCGCCGCGATAGGGCGGGAGCTGGGCGGCCCGGAGCGCCCGGAGGGGGGCGGAGCCGCTGCGCTCGCCGGGCCCGGGGCTTCTCCAGCTCCAGCTCGCAACGTGCGCGCCGCGTCTCCCAGGCCCCGCAGCCCTAGCAACGGAGCCGGCCGTAGGGGCGGGGGATCCGGGGCGGGAGGGGTGAGGACTCTCGGGCTTGCGTGGCAGCCTGCCCCGGGCGCCTCCTGGCGGGGAGAGGAGGGGAACCTCGACGCCCACCCACCGATCCGGCCCTGCAAGGACCAGGGGCACAGGACCGCGGTGGTGCTTGGGGCAGGGGGTGGGAGGAGGTGCTGGGGGAGGGCGGGGAGGAGGTGCTGGGGTGCCGCAAGGCTTCACAGGTATTGGCGCACCGGGGCCGTGCAGATAGGTCACGGGGCTCTGATTCCCAATACCAAGAGCTGTCTTGGCCCTCACTTCAGAAGAGTAAATGCATCTCGGAAAGGTCAGGTAATATGCTCACTCATAAAGTCGCCTAGGAATACAGGGATGGCGGAGTTAGGATTTGAACTCAGGACATATTGAGGCATCATTCACATGGAGGTACTCCAGGAAGGTCCTGACTCAGGACTTCTCCTTATTGACCCATCCCAGCAGCATTTAGTTCCTTTGTGTTTTTTTTTGTTTTTGTTTGCTTGTTT